ATTATTTGGGGTCTAGTGATTCAAATGACTCATTTGATTTGAGGAGTGCAAGCTTGATACAAAAGACAATGGATCACATTGCATGCTTTGTGTTTTCATAGAATGATGAAATCTATCAAAGTTCAGAGTATAATTATGGTTTTGTAATAGATCAGAAATTCTTTAAAAGTCTGATTGAGATACACATCCAGAGTTCAATGTTGGATTTAAGCAATGAGTTGACAGTTTTTACTTCAACAAGCCAAAATGGTATGGCCTGGTGAGGTCCAGTCTTGGCAAGTCATGGCACATGTAAATATTTTTAGCCCCTTTCTTGCAAAGATGAAGCAAGGTACAATCAAAGGGGTCAGGTACCACCATTTCCAATGATGAGCCTCTCTGATTGTGGTCCTGGAAAGATGAGAAAGCAAGGATAACAGATTCCTACAGCAACAAAAACTATGGCAAAAGTGAAGCACTTGAAAAGAAGTCATGTGTATCACAAGAATCATGGTGCTTTGAAAGAGTCAAACATGTAGAAAAAAAGATCAACAGCATGGGCTGAAGATGACAAGGCAATTTGAGGAGGTAAAAATGAGAATCTCAAGAAGTGACCAAGCAGAGAGCAAAAAAGTGGAGGGTATTGTTTGACAATTGATCCTGATTAGCAATATTCTTCTTCAGCTCTTACCAACCTAATTCATTCTTCCTCATCTCTTCTAAATCACTCCCATCTCACAACACAAATATGGAAAGTCCAGATAAATCATGTCAAACAGACACCAAAAGTGGAAGTGAATGTCTTCCAGATGAGTTGATATATTTAATCATGAAAATCTTTGTTGCTCAATCCAAGTTCACTTTTGCAACTGGGAGCAACACTTCCCTATGAATGAATTAGAGTCTTGAGATTTGGGATCTAGTATCATAAACTAGTGCTGATAAGCACAACTCCTACAAGGTAATCTCAATGGAAAACTTCTGACCTATAACAACATCAAACTACTTAGAAAAGAAATTTTATCAAATGATTAAAAAGATAACAAGTACCTGGAGGAGGGTTTAGAATATCAATGATAATGTTAGTGGTTAAGTTATCAACTTTAGATAACTGATCTCTGGCTGAACAAAAGAGACTATGTTCTGTGGAATTAGAAAACAATAAGAGTGATGAAATATAAGAGCACATAATATAATTGGTCAACATTAACTTTTAGAATGATGATAGTGAAGATGACTTACTTCTCTTCCCAAAGATGGGAAAAAGAGAAGTAATAGTTGGATCCAATATCATATATATATAACCATCAATTCTATCAGTTTCATTGGGGTAATAATGTGATGAGTGGAATATCCATCTGTTGATGGATTTCATTTTTCACCAATGTCTCCTTCACTTCTTTTGTCAATTGCAGATTTCAACATTGCCCCAACCCATTTACTCACTGGGAAAAAAAGAAAAAACTCCTCAGGTTCTGCTTAGTTTGCAAAGACTGGTGTATATCTGTTACACTCATTGCACTTCATTCAGGTTTGTTAAATAAATCAAGAAGGGTACTTAGAACCCAGCTTGAAAACTGTAGAAATTCTATCATCAGTGCATATTTTGCTCCTGTTAAGCAACTGTCAATCAAAAACTTAACATACAGGAAGGCGTTGCACATTGAGAATTTGGATGAATAAAATCAACATCCTTGAAGGAAACTGAAGTACAATGGAACTTTGAACCAATGTTGTGCCCTTATTTCAATGGATCAGGAAACAGAAGCAACCAAATTTGTTAGCCAAAGCTTGATTGAGTTATGTTTGGAGTTTCTCAACTCAATGGGATATCCCCACCAGACATGGACAATCTTATCAAATGAATCAAAGTTTAAGGAAATTGGCCATCATAAATTGTGGTTACACCCCGTGTGGCAGGAATAAAAATTCAGAATCATTAGTCAATATTTTCAAAGCTACTCCTAACCTAGAAGTTTTCACAATGAATAGTCTAAAACTTGAGTATTTTAATTTACTACCTCAACCTTACCAAAGTTGACACACTTCTGAATTTGGAAATATGTCCCTACCAACAAAGAAGAACTTCCTCATCTAGGAAAACATATCAAACACACCTTAAGATTAATTGAATCAATTGAGTTAAAACAAACTCAAACTGGAATATGCAAGAGTAGGGTGATTGAAAGCCAACAAGACTTTCATAGAGAATGAGATGTGTAAAGTTCCATTGCTATTGAATTTAAGATTGAATCTTTTAATCTTGAAGAGAGTCATTTACCAATTTCTTTCTTTAACCTCAACTTTTGTTTTGTCTTTCATCAATTTGAATTTGGATCCTTCTGAGTGTTCAGCTCAAATCTTCCAAAGTTATTTTGTGTTTTCTGAACTCATGAAGAAACAGAATCTATATTATTTTAACTTCAAAAACAGGCTTCATGATCATCTGGGTCACAGAAAATTATCAAACAATCCACTCACAGAGAAAAAAGGACCCCTTACTGCTAATGGTAAACAATTCATCAATCATGGTGTACTTTTCTCTGCTTTTTGATCTCAAAGTGTCTCAAAATTGATCCTTTACTGAGTATCTCTGGATCTATTTCCCAGAATTATTCCAAAAACCAATAGGGTAACTTTTTGAAGTGGATGTTTGTGAGGATGATTATAACTGATAGATAGTTGAAGGTGTAGTAACTTGTTGATATTTAGCTTTCAACTTTGATCAAATCTCATCACTTTGATCATTCCTAGCATTTCGAATTTGCCATTGTACAAATTCTTTGTGATCTGTGCGGGCGATGATCAAAGTTGAAGTGTAAAGTGTGAAGAAATCAAGAGCCTCTTCATGGAACTTCATGTCTCCTTTTTACTTGAATTTGACCGAATGGCATCGGGTCGGGTCTGTAGTGTCACCCGTGAGCTCGACTGACCGAGGCTATTCGAGTCAGATCGAGTACCTTGATTTCCTTTCTCGTTTAAAAAACCATTGAGGATCTTTGAAGTGCATACATCATTTAAAGCCAATCAACTTGAACCACTTCAACAAATAATGGCTGGATTGACAAAGATAGTGTTTGTGGGAAACTTACCCTACTCACACTCAGATGAGTAAGAGCTTTTGACTCTCTTCAGATTCGAATCTTTGCGATCTTATGATCTGACCATTTTGTGTTATCGTTCGATCCTGGATAGACTACAGAAACAACTTGAAGATGTCTTTAGCACAGTCGGGTACGAATCTTATCCCTCATTCCCACATGCCAATCTGAGAAACTTTTTGAAAAACGACTGAATGTTCATTGTAACCAATTCAAACTGACACGATCATAATCGCTATCAAATCCATTTAGCTTGGTTTCAAATTTCAGGATCGCTTTCGAGAAAGAGACAGGAAAACCTCGAGGATTTGGTTTTTGTGAATACTTTGGTGAGTCTTTTGGACTTGACAGCTCCTTACTGATGAGATGAACCAAGTTGCAACGATATAATTTCCCATCACTTAACCTGTGTCCAATCCTTCCGTTTTTAGACACACAAACAGCCGAATCAGCTATCCGTAATCTTCAAGGAATTGAAATTGGTGGTCGAGCCTTACGATTAGATTTTGCTGATGTAGGAAATCATGATACGAGGGAAGCTGGTGGTCGACCTCCGCCTCCGAAAGGTCGACGTGCTGCGGCTATGGCACAAGCCAATCGTGACGAATTTGGTGGTGGCGGTGGTCGAGGTCCAATGGGTAATGGGAACGGTCCAGGACCAATGGGTGGATTACCTCCTGATCTACCGCGTGGTCAGCCCTTGGTCGCAGGACAGGCTGCCACCGATCAAATCTCTCAGACCTTAGCCGCAATTCCTCCTGGACAACTGGCTGAGATAACAGGTCAAATGAAGGTATATTGAAGCTAATTTTTATACACTATGCTTAGGTTTCCACTTGTGAATGTATCTACTGACCATTTTCATTCCCTTGGATTCTTGTTATACTTAGCAATTGGTAGCTACAGCACCAGACCAAGCCAGGCAATTGCTCACGGCCAATCCTCAATTGACTTACGCACTCTTTCAGGCAATGTTAATGATGGGAATTGTAGATGCTTCAGTCCTTACTCGTATGCTAGCCCCAGCAGCTGCTGTCCCACAGCCCCAACAGCACGCAGCACCTATATCCCATCCACCGAATCGAATGGCAAACATGAACGTCGGTTTTGGCACTGCGGCCTATCCAACACAGATGCGACCCAATTTGCCTGTACAGCCAGCTACTTCATATAGTAATCCAGCACCTCAAGTGGTACCAAATTATGGTGTCATACCTCAACCTGCTTCCGTAACAGCGCCTGCTCCTGTAACAGCCCAACCACAACAGCCTCCATTATCTGCAGCAGCAGCACAACAAGCACAATTGATTCAACAAGTTCTTTCACTCACTCCTCAACAGATCGATGCCCTAGCTCCCGAGCACCGGAATACAATATTACAAATTGTGAGGATCTCAGATTCGATTCGATTACCTTATCGTCCTGTGTGTATATGTTGATTGACATTCTTCATGTCCGTACATTTCACTTTTACCCAATCAGCGACAACAAGCCCTAGGGAATTTAGCACGATAAGTTGATTCAATAGTGTATCTATATATCTTTTTTAGTTTGTTTTCTGTTCGGTTTTGAAAATTAAAAGTTTGATCTCCTCTTCAACCCATCATTTCTCCATCTCTCTTTTTCATGTTTCAAAGAATAATCAAAAGGGAGAAGTAACTTTAAAGTGATTGTAATGATCAAATGTACCATCCCTATTTGATCTATCTGTTAATGATCCGATCATTAACCATGAATCAATTCAGTCCTTTCCATTGTTTCCTTCTTTACTAATCTCGATTGATCTGATGTTACCTTCTGATGACATGAAAAATGAATGAACGGAGAGATTTGAATTGGAATCATGAAGCTTGATCGAGTCAATCAAGGTTGTTGTGTGTCAAACCTGGGGTTGAAACAAAACAAGATTGAAAAAAAGTTTGCCCGTTGCCAGATTTGAACTAGCGACCTCGGCATTCCACAAGGGGTACAAGTGCCGCGCAATAACGACTATGCTAAACGGGCCATGCAAAGCAGTAGTAAAGAACAAAATATGTATCACGATTTTCAGGAATTTATTTGATATCAATGTTTAACTTTGAATGTTTTGGATCAGATCAAATTCCAATTTTTTGATTTTCTCATCAAGATTTAGAAATTCAATTCAATTCAATTCGATTCGATCGAATCCTTCAATTCAATTCAAGCGAATCGGATCAATCAATTAATCAATTTTATTTCTTATGGATTTTAAAACAAGATGATCATTATTTTGGAATTGATCATACAAATTAGATTTATTTTAATTTAAATTAATCAAGTTTGAATATAATTTTTAAATTTGATTGATACTACATGATACTTTAAAAAATTTTATATACAATTTTCGGATACTTTTCAATTTCTTATATACAATTTTATGATGACAATGATGATGATGATGATGATTTGGATTCGAGTTAGATATTAAGAAAAGATGATTTAAAGATTATCTAATTTATATATATTTATATAAATATATATGAACAGGTTTTTGTTTTTTTTGATAAGTGAAGTAAATAGATAAAGATTAGATCGGTTTATATTATATAAATTTATATGCGTTTTCACTCCCAAGATTGATTGGATTGGTTTTGCCTTCTTCGTTATACAAATTCTCAAGAAAAGAAAAAGACAGATGATTTATCAATTAATTTATGTGTGGGTTTTTTTTTGGATTTACGAATTTTGAAAAAGTGGTTAAATGTTTTTTTTCGATTGATTGATTGAAATCAACTTTAAATGTTTTAAAGGTTTTGAGTGGTTTGATTTGTAAACAGATTAGAGGATTTTATACTGATTTTTGGTTGATGATGATTAGAATGATGATCTAATCTTTGATGATCAACTTTGATTTGATTTGACTATAAAACAAAAAAAAGGCAATGATGAAGTAAGACTAGAGAAAATGAAAAGAAGAGAAAAAGAGAATGACGTACTAGGAAGGTTGAATCAGATGAATCATCAGAAGAAGTAGTAGAAAAGGTAGGAGAATTTAATGAACAAGTGGAAGGGAAGGGATTAGGTGATTTCAAAAGTTCAGATTTTCTGGGTGCATCTCTACACGTCTTCGTTAAACCGTGAATCACACATCTTGGACATGGTCTTGAGTCAGCGCATCCTTTACACGCCTTTAAGATTCAGACAAAAACAAAAAAAACAAGAGAGAGAGAGGAGAGAGATGAAAGATGAAGTCAATGAATTAATCAACTTGTCAACCTTCACTCATTCTCTCTTTGACTGGTACCGAGACATTCTTTTTTTGGAGTATATAGAGAGTACATACCTTTTGACAATTTTGACAAGCTCTTTTAACTTGTTTACGTTTTGGTCTATTAAGTATAGATTTTGATGAGAGTTTATACTTGGGTTGAGTACTCGATTGAAGTTTACTTGAGAGTTGTTTCAAGTTAGAATCTATTTGGTATGATTCATGATCAATGAAATCTTGATTTAGAAGCTGATGATTTAAAAGATGATGATGATTGGATGGCCGAAAGTGTTGATTGAATTTGTTTTGATGAGGATGAGGAAAGTGAAGATGATTGAGATTTGGATTAGGATTAGGATCAAGATATGATTTTAAAGGGGGTAAAGTGAGATCAATGGTTCTGGAGTGAATTGAATTAAAAGCTTGACCATCAACTTCTTGAAGAAGTGATTGAATAGAAGGTAAGTTTATTGAGAAGTGTGATCGAGGATGATGATGAGGATGAGGATAAGGAGTAGTAAGATGATATGGATGATAATGATGATGAATTGAAGGATACATCTTGGTGAATGAAGATGAGGGAGGCAAGAAAGAAAGAAAGAAAAGGAAATCTCAAACTATTCGATCAAATCAAATACCCCATCCAACTCAAGATTGATTCGAAGAAGAGGTTTGATTGAGAAGAAGAAGAAGAAAGTGAGATGGCATTTGAGTGAATCGAATCGAAGGTAATCAAGACAGACAGACAGACACTCAAACAATCAAAGTGAGATGAGGATTATGAACTATTAAATGCTTAAGATATCGAAGTTCATTCAAATTTGACTTTTAGTTTTCATCATCTTGAGTACTTCTTTACTCAGTTGAAATCAGACAGACAGAGAGAGAGAGAGATGAATTCGATCAAAGTGTTCTAATAATGTGAGTGAGTGAGTGTTTAAGCAGCATGCAAAGGTTGTTGATGGCCTCCACTAGCTGCTGACTGTCTTCACTCTGTTACTTACTGACAGCTGATGGAGTGATGGTGACCAGTCAATGGATCCTTAAACTGAAGTTCGATTCAATTCGATTCCAACTCATTATTCACATTCAAACTGACTTTTGATTTCCAATCTCAGATGATGAAGATGATGATGATGTTCAGTTAAATAAGAACCAACCTATTCTCTTCAATTCAAACTTCGACACTAATCAATCCTATCATCAGTTCTCTCTCTGCAAGAACTTCAACTTCACATTCAAACTCATGCCAATGCCAATTGACTCTCATATATTTCATCTCATCTCATCTATCTCTTCTTCTATTATCTGTCTTTACAATCTTTTATCAATAACAATCATTGATACATAATCTCAAATCTCAAATTTATCTTCCCTAACTCAATCTACAATCCTCATAGAATTCTACAAATCACAATATATGTAGAGACCATTTCATTTCTCAATTTAATCGCTTCGAATCATTCTTGAAACCATCTCGGAAGTCATCATCATTCACCATTTCAATCCAAGCAGTTCAAATGAATATGAATCTTCATATCTTCCTGCTTTCATCTGCCCGTTTAGCATAGTCGTTATTGCGCGGCACTTGTACCGAAGCCCTGAGTGGCTTGCAATGCCGAGGTCGCTAGTTCAAATCTGGCAACGGGCAAAGCTTTTTTTAACCCTCTCATCGGATCAACTCTATCTCATCTTATAAAACCTTGACCAGACTATTTCACAAGTTTGAGGTTCCATGTGGTAGGAATGAGAGAGACAGAGAGAATTGTAGGATAGGATTGTTTGATTGTTTGATTGAAATGGAAGAGTTGTATGAGCAAGGATTGATGATTGAAGTCAAAGTTCTTCATACACAAACTCGACGAGGAGAAAACACCCTTCGATCGATCAAAACTGTATGAGTATACCATCAGTTTCAGTTTCACTCATCACACTTCCTTTGCCGTTACACGAAATCAGTTCATAAAAGACTACTACAATCTTCAACTTCATCCGATCTTTCTTTCTCTCTCTCTCTCTCTCTCTCTCAACTCTCACAACAAGCATTTCTCACAATCAACACTCATCGACAAGAAAAGGCACAAAACTCAAACATGGTGCGTTCTCTCCTCAACCTCATCGCTTACCTATTCTCACACAGATCACTTTTCTCTTCTTCAGGCAGTAGGAAAACCAAGGTACGGATGTCAGTCTTAGACATGCTTTACGATCTAAGGACTTAAACTTCACTGCTGAATGATCTCATCAGAACTCTACAGAAGAAAGAAGAAAAATATGCAGAAGCGTTAAAGAAAGGGACTCATATCAAACCAGCTTATAGGGATATAAAGGTAGGATTGATGATTGATTCATAGGAGGATGATGAAGAGAGAAACGATTTCAAAATCTCAAAAACTGATGTCCAATGATCCCATCTCATTCTGTCTTCTTTGCTCAATCAAATCCAACATTTCAGAAACCTAGCTCGGTCCCACCTTATGTGATTTATGGCTTGTTAACCATTCTGGGTGGTGGTGGTGAGTGTGATGATGAACTTATGCAACTCAAATCCGAATTAGAGCTATCAAGACCACTAACTTAAATTCTCACTCTTTTTTCACATAGTCATCTTTGAGCTACTCAGATTAGTTTTCTAAGACTCATTCAAACTCGATCTTTGTGATTTCTTTCTTTCGCCTTCTCATCTTCATCTTTTTTTTCCAAACCCATCTACTCTATTCACTTTGCTGCTCAATCATCTATCCAATCTGACATTGAATCAAGTTTCATTCCTCAACCGAAACCGTCTTGGTGATGCACCCGAGCATTTCTATCATCACGGACTCATCAACTCACTTCTTTCTTGATTTACATGTTGGATTCGTTTATGCGGTATATGTGTTGAGTGTTTGAAAAAGGATGGGATTGATCAATCATTTGAACGTTTTAAAGTCTTGAGCTCGAATTTACTCATCTGTTGACTTCTTTATAAAGCTCTTTTGGAATTCTTTTAGGTGAATATGTGAAACCCCGTGTGTTTTGTGAGCTTGTACGTTGCGGAACAGGGTGGTGAGTGGTGGAAGGATTTTTGACCATGAAACCAAACGTGCTACTCTCAAAATTCATAGTACACTTCCTCTTCAATGAGTTGTTATGTTCAAACAATGCAAAAATATCATCTGCTTGCAATCCTCAACAACATGCTTTCAGGTTCAGCTCTCAGGACTGGTAGTCTAGCTCTTTCACAAAGTTTTGGTAGTCAAAGTATCGAATGAATCTCGAAGCAATCCAATGGTCATCGTCGATTAACAATTCAAACTAATATCATTCTTTGAACTCGATTTCTTCTTTTTCTTCTCGCTTCCTAATCAAATTACCTTCATCATCCAGTCATGATCAATTTCATCTTATTCTGACTACTGATATCAACCTATCAACATTGTTCATGATTATAAATGCCTCATTACCTATTCAGTTGTTAGCGGGCTTACTACTTATCAATCTGGTCAACCGAGCTTTCAAAACTCGAAGGTTTTCAACGTCCAGGCTGAACGATCATCTAAGCTAAACATCGGATATTTGACATGCTCCCCTAGTCTAAAGGTAGGGCGTTGGACTTCTAACTCTGGTTGGCATCCAAAGATTGCGGGTTCGACCCCCGCGGGGAGTGTAACTCTGGGACCTTGATGTGGTTTCATTTTTTACTTATGCTGCGCTTGTGTGGCAGCTTCCGTTTGTTGTTTGCATGAAAATCAAGACCAAAGATTAGATTGTGAGAAAGAAAGTAAAGAATGGTTTACATTCAACATCTTGTTGTTGAAAAGCTTTTTTGAAATACAACATAAACTTTGATAAAGTCAGTGAAGTCAAATGAACTGATTTGAAACTGATAAGTGTGATTCTTAGATTTCAATTCTTCTCCTCTTCTTTCCCATTTGTTTCGTAACTACATAGATTTTATGTTCATACTTTTCACTTCTTGGTGTATTTTTTTTTTGATTTTCCCTTTGTTTTGGATTAGATGATTTAAGTAGAAAGATCTAGTATAGATCAGTTCCAATGACTTAATTTCACTGATTGTAGACTGGATCCAGATTTACCAGATTTTGGAAAGAGAGTGATTGTTTTTTTAGAAAACTGTGTATGACTCTCATTATTGTTTTCATACCACACTAGAACTTTTGATAAAGTTCATGATCAAGATAACAGCAGCTCACTAAGCTACACTGAGGATTTTTTGCCACCTTGCCTTAGCTTAGCTAGAATCAGTTCAGGAAAGATCTACTAACACTAATGCATCAGCTTAGCTTTCATAAAATGTCGTCTGCTAAGCCAAGTACTTAGCTGATAAACTGCTATTAGTGGTTTAGAGCATCTCCTATCGTTCAGTATATTTTTGAGTAAATATACTGTACGTACCGATTCGGTACGGTATCCATCGATACAGAATCGCGTGATTCCACTATCGTTCGGGATATTTAGGGTTCTGTACGTACCGAATGTACAGAACCCTAAATATCCCGCTATCGTGAAAATTTTTCACTTCTGTAAATCTTCGGCAAATTCCGAACTTTATCTTCTCAAACCTTCGTCGAACTCAATTTCATCGTTTGAACTCAATTTCATCGTTATGGCTGCTGACAACGACCCAATATACGACATGCAGATCAACGATCTATTGTCGAATACGCTCATATGTAATCACCTCCGTCATATGCAAGAATTCGCAGCAGACGACGTTGAGGATGAGGTTTTCCTGGCGCTAGAATTGCCAGATGACCAGATGACCTATATACAAAAAAATCAGCGAAGACGCATCAAACGGGACAGAGCGGAGGCTCATGCACGTCTCATGAGAGATTATTTTGATGACAATGCCCGATGGGCTGTAGAATTTGATCGTCGTTTCAGAATGTCCAAAGAGATGTTTTTGGATATCTGTGCCAAACTTGAAGCGCATGACATCTTTTGGGTTCAAAGATATGTCAGTACTTCTTATCAAATGGAATGGTTTTTGAGATTCCAATGTTTTCTTTTTTTTTACTCTTCAATCTGGTGTGTCTGGTAGGATTGCTGCCTTCAGCTGGGTTTATCAACTATCCAAAAAGCAACTTCTGCGATACGACAATTGGCTTATGGAATTTCAGCGGATTTGATAGACGAATATGTGGAAATTGGCGAGACCACAGCAAACTTGTGTATGAAGAAGTTCGTACAAGGGGTTATTGAAATCTATGGACCCAAATTTCTCCGTCCACCAAACGAAGAGGAGCTGGAAAAGATCACAAAAGAGTATGAAATGCGTGGATTTCCAGGTTGCAAAGGTTCGATCGATGGAATGCACTGGGTTTGGAAAAATTGTCCTTCAGGTTGGGCCGGTTCGTTTCAAGGGAAAGAGAGAAAGACGACAATAGTTCTTGAAGCGGTGGCGTCCAAAAGTACTTGGATTTGGCATGCATTTTTTGGAACTCCTGGCTCTTTGAATGATATTAATGTTCTCAATGAAAGCCCTCTCTTTGACCGATTTTTAAGTGGTAGGTCTGTCTTCTAATTTGTAATGATTTGATTTTACCACACTGATTCTTTTGATTAGGAACGGATGAGAGGTTGAACTTTACAGTAAACAATAACACTTACTCACGAGGGTATTACCTTGCCGATGGCATTTACCCCACCTGGCCAGTTTTGATCAAGACCATCAATAATCCACAAGACGATGCTTCAGCATATTATGCAAAGTTACAAGAAGCGGCTCGAAAGGACATTGAAAGAGCTTTTGGCGGACTCCAATCTCGATGGCATATTCTCGCAATCCCTTGTCGACTTTGGTCATTGCATGATATACGTCAAATTATGTATGCTTGCATTATTATGCACAACATGATTGTTGAAGATAGGGAGGTGGTTGATCCCAAAGTTACTGATTTTCCCACCAACACAACCATAATACCCAATCACCGTGATCCACGCATTCGGCCAACACCCACTGAGATGGTTTCAAATCATCTGGATTTACAAGATGCTGAGATACACCATCGTCTGATGCATGATCTCAAAGTGCAACTTTGGCTAGCACGTGGTGAGGCAAGAAACTTGATAGAAGATTGATATCATATTGCAAAATTTATAGAATATATTGCAATATTTATAAACCATATTCATGTCTATAAAAACTACTAGAGACACAAGTTGAAATAAAGAAATGAAAAGAAATTTGAATATTTTGAGAGAAGAAATAAAAAATTTACAACTTCTGTTTTATTTGATGAGAAATGAAATTTAGAATAAAAATTTCCCCATTACAAACTCATGAACTTCTTGATGGTTGACTTCATTGATGACTTCATTGTTCAGTTGATTCTACTGGATCACTGTCTGGATTGGGTAATACATGAGTCAACTTGATCAATTCCAAAAGAAAATTCATTAAAATCAGGACTTACTAGATGAAGGTGAGTATTTCTCTTTAAGTCTTTGTTGCATCATCTGTAACACTTCCTTTGCAAGATCAGTCTGACAACTTTCCTCACTTGTCTGCAAAACTTTGAGGTCATTCACTTGCACCAGGCTCGCTTTGGCTTCAGCATCAGCTTTAGCCATCTTCTTGACCAACTCATTACTTTCTTCGAGAGCCATAACCTTCCTTTCAGCTAATTCAATACTCATCTTAAA